GATACATCAGCGAATATTTAAATTTGGAGGGAATTTCTTTCGGATGGTAGCGTATGATTTCAAATTAATTGCGCGAGGGTGAGGTCAAACCAGCAGCATGCTGCGGTGCACAGATCCCAGAGTCGTGATAACCCTGATGACGTTAGACACAGAACAAGTTATTCAAGTCGCTCCCGACCTTTTCAGCTTTCTTTCTTTCTTTCTTTCTTTCTTTCTTTCTTTCTTTTCTTTCTTTCTCTTTCTTTCTCTTTCTTTCCTTTCTTAACTCTTTGTCGCTGTTAAGAACAAGGTAATAATCGAGACCAGACAAAAATATTCAGCTGTGTTCTGCCTCTCTTGGCGTTCTATATATATCGCCATACCTCTCCATATATCAGTATTTTATTACCCAGAGTTTCCTCAACATCAATCTTTGGAGGTGTATAACAGGGTCAGGAAGAACCTTGTAGTCTAGACTCCAAGAAAAGAGACAGAAGAAGACAATATTCAGGTCTGTCCTCGGAGAATAACCTTAAAAGGTCCAGTGTGTAACATTTAGGATAGCTCTATTGTAAGTACCGTAGATTGGCAACATGGCTATGGTAGTACACGAAGCACAAAGCACACTGGTTCTTTTTCGTTAATAAAAATTTTAAAGGAATATTGACAAGTTCACACGTAATCTCTTCATGAGTAATATGGAACTAGAGGCAGAGGAGGCAATCAGACTGAAGTAGCTTAGGAGGAAGAGCCGGAAGGGTCAGGAAATACAGCTAGCAAAAGTTTGTTTGTTTAATATGTACACAAACAGAACCAGCGATTCCTTTTGCTAAAATTACAAGAAACGTTATGACTTCCCAGAGGGCCTTTGCATCACAGTGAGGCCTTCCTGCCCTGGGTGGGTGGATGGATAAACTTGTTGTTAGCCGGGAAACTTTGTTGCAACCACACAGCTCTCTTTAAAACCACAATTGCCGTTTCACAGTTCTGCTTGTGTACAGATTAGCACAAATGAGATGCAAGGACTTAAATGAGTTTTTGGAGGGGGTTAGTTGGAGGATTTTGTTACCTTGGAAGAGGCAGCTACCCGCCGTTTCTCCCTGCTTCCCAGTCTCCTATACTATCATCGCAAGCTAACCCCCCCCCCCCCCCCGTCAGTCCATACTTAACGCTCAGGACAGTTTTCTGCAAATCATCTTCTCATCTCACTCTTGGAAAGAAAGCAAATATTGTTGGACTATTCCTTTAAGTTCCAAAGTAGGGGAAATTGCCATGCTTTATGGCGCTCTCCATGGTGCTGAACTTAACCTGGCATAGGCACTCCATTTACACTGCCTTTCTTGGCAACATTTCTGTCTCAATGCATTATGGGACAACTGTTTATGAACCAATGTCTGTTTATTACTTGACCGACAGTACTCCATACAGGGTGTTTTTGTTACCTTTGCTACTTTTTTGGTCAGAAAACTAGTGTATATCTGTGTTTGTGTTTTTGTATGATGGTCCTCTAGGCAGTCAATGTTCAACATATTCTGCCTCAGCTGTTTAGCAAGCAGTAGGTATAATCACTATGGTACAGTCAAAACAAGTCAAACCAGTCTTTTCAACATGTTGATTTCACTTTATTTGTACTGTATCAAATGGGTTAGCCTGATGTAAACAGTTATTCCTCTGTTTCCTGTTTGTTCCCCCACTCCTCCTGTGTTAGTATCCTTGGAATGCATCTGTTTGGTTGTAAGTTTGGGAAGAAGAAGAATGGAGAAACCGTGCCAGACAGGAAGAACTTTGACTCACTCCTCTGGGCCATAGTGACTGTCTTCCAGGTGAGCATAAACCCCTCTGTCCTCCTCACTTAACCTTGTTAAATATTCACATTTTATTGTGTTATGGCCAATTTAGCTGCAGCCATATGCCTGACTTAACAGTCTGTTGAGAAAGTAAAAATGTAGCAGCAGGATGACCTAAAGGTACGCATATTCATCCACCATCTGGACACTTGAACTTCCTGTGTGATCAAACTGTTGCTGCTGAAGTGCCCTCGAGCAACCCACTTCACATCTTCCTGCTATATTGGTGCTGACTAAAGCTGTCCTCTTTCAGAGACTGAAAAGACAATTTCCCTCTTGAATAAATAAAATATATCAAATAAAATATTCCTCTTCCTTCTCATATCCCCTCTCTCCCTAACTGCCTGGCCTTTATATATCTCCCTCATTTTCTTTCACTCATCTAATTTTCTAAGTAGGCCTTCTTCTTGCATGTCACCTTGGATTAGTGAATCAACTCAAAGGCCCTCTGTGGGGTCCGACCCGTTATCTCTGCATATCTCACTGTGTAGTATTTATCACCCCAAATATAGTAACCATTTATAATTCATTGAAACATCTGATCGGGGACTATGTGAAGTTACAGCATGTCTCGATGTGCAGGACATTGTACTGACACATCTCCTCTCATGAGGTTACACATTCACCATACAGTCACGAGAGCTCTTACATTTTAGTGTTGTGTCTTTTCAAATGAAAAGCATGTGCTGCAAAGAATGAAATACAAGAGATATACCTTCTAGAAACGCAATTTCATCAACATCGGCTATGAAATATCATAACATTGACCGTTTGCTAAACTGTTTTCCAGGACACAACTTTAACTAGACACTGACTCAGCACAGCACAGCAATACTCAGCATTTAAGAGTTTAACTTAATCAGAACAAAAAGCACAAGAATTTGGAATATATTAAACAGTGTGTTTATCTGTTCTAACTTAAAGGTATAATATGTTACATTAAATGGCAGTTATTTTATTTTAAAAAACCTTTGACTTGTGTATATACATTATACCAAATGTTGCCAACAATTCAAACCTAGAGGAATCCTTAATTTTATTCAAGGTAATGGTGCATTTCCTACTTGCCTCTAGTTGCTATAACTTTAGGATATATCGGATACATCAGAGAGTGAGGAAGGAATTCAACAAATGTGAAATATAAACTTTACTACTACATTACATCTTCTGTGATTTATGCCTGAGTCAAGTCTGTAGCTTCAGCATGTCTGCTTCATGGATCATCAGCTGATGAAGACTCTTATTTTTGCCTGGTACAGGTAACTTTGTACATAACCATCAAGTGCACATTTAAATCATATCTTCAGAGGCTAGTTTTTAAAAAAGTCAGCCAGAGACAGTGTTTTCAACCAACTTGTGGAGCCAGTGTTAGCTTAGCTAGCTAGCTACAGCTGATAAAATTGGCTAGCTAGTTGCTTGACATGTGGATCTAAATGGGACGGGGCTTAGCATACGGTCAATAACAGATACTAATAAACTTGTAGAACAACTGCTGAACAATGATTTACACAATGCTTTTTCCCATAAATACTTTTTCCTCTCCTCTCCTCCAGATCCTAACCCAGGAGGACTGGAACGAGGTATTATATAACGGCATGGCCGCCACCTCTCCCGTAGCTGCCCTCTACTTCATCGCACTCATGACCTTTGGCAACTACGTCCTCTTCAACTTGCTGGTGGCCATCTTGGTCGAGGGTTTCCAGACTGAGGTATAATGTCGCTGGTCACTCATGCACAAAAACAAATGCAAAACTAGCACAGAATAACCATCCAGCATACATTATTGAGCTTTTTTTGTCTGAAATTCAGTCTTAAAATCCTCTTTTCCTAAAAGCATGTGAGAGAAATCTGCCTTTGGAGTGGGATTGTTATGTTCTTTTAAATGCAGGTCATCTTGTTGAATCTTGCAGAGTGATCTGGCTCGCTTTCAGGTGTTAACACAGATCACTTATGTTAGATGGTGAAAGTGCTTTGGAAACTAATGTTAATATATTCTTGTAATTATTTATGCTATTTTTTTTTAGAAGAAATAGGTTTTGAGACTGAAACACAGGGCTAAATAATTCAATGTGTTGCTTATTTTTCAGTGCAGCCCCATACTTACATAACAAATTGGTAAACACTGTAGGCATTAACCTGCACCTTTTCCTGCACTCTCTGCAGCGGGTTATGTGAGGACATGAGATTACACCAGCTAGTTGCAGCGTTTCATTTTCCTCTCCCCTTCATCTTCATCTCGCTGTCAGCCTCTTCTCCTCCCACTCTTTCCCACTATCTCAGCAGTCATCCTCATTATTGTTCTGCTTATTTGCCAATGCAGTCATGCCATAAAGTACATCATAAGAAAACTATGTCTGCTAGACTAGACTGTGCATCAGCCCACATCTCCCACAACCCCTCTTTCATCAGCCTCATGCTCGGAGATCTTCTTTTCATGCCCCCCTGATCTTTCCCTTCCTCAGTATAACTCGTCTTATGTCATAAAACAAAAGTGATGTGTTATCCGCCGCCTCACTTTGTTTGTGATTCTTCTCTGAGACAGAAAATAGCAAGAGACAGCAAAAAAGAGAGTGAAGAAGGTAGATTAATAGCTGTTTTTGTTTAGAGACAGCAGCTAGGAAAAGAAGTCCCCCCCGGAACATTTTCAGGTCCACATGGAGCAGAGAAGTTGAAACTCAATGAGCAACCTCTCTTCTCTTTTTAGCCACCCCTTCTGGAGCATACAGGGCTTTATTTGAGACAGACAGAGCGACTGAGAGAAGGAAATAGAAGCTGGGATGAGTAAATCACACAAGTATTCAGCCTTTCTCTAGCTGTCTACTTGTCTCCCACTCTCTCTCTTTCTTTAAGGGGTGACAGCACCTATGCTTTGATCTCTGACGCTCTTTGGCTCTCTGGATGAGAGGAGAGAGAATAGGCGAAGGGTGGCAGAGGGAGAGGTTGACAGCCTCATAAAATATGGATTAATTGGAATGAGCTTCTCCTGCCATTGCGCTTATCTCCTGTACAAATATATAGTGCATGACTATAGTGAATGGAATCACATAGGAGGTGGGAGACACTGACCAAAGCTGCTTAAGATGAAGGCTTTACATGCAGGCTAAGACTGGAATTAGACTGAATGAGTTTCTGCTGAATTCTTAAAGTCAACTGAAATTAAATGAGGTTTTGCTTGGTGTATGTTTTGCCCTGGGTGCTTATTTGGTTAAAATTGTTAATAGCAAAAAGAAGAATTTAAAGTTTTATTTATTTTTCTGCAGTGACACCACCTCTTTCATTAGTTTTGTGGAAGGTGAATTTTTGGTACTGTAATTCGATTGGTGCAATATCTGTGTGGACAGGAACCAAACATAGTTTGAATATCACTTAAAGATCCCCTCCAGACATATAAAATTTGTTATGAAAGTTTTTCCTGCTGGACACAAGATGTCTCCTACTTCACTGTAAAGTCCATTCTCAGTGTATGTGCACGGCTGTCTTCAACTTTCTACGTCACACTTCTATAATTTAAAGATTGGACTTTGAAATTGTGATGTCACAAATCATGCTCATAGGCCCCGCCCCTTAAGATCCGATTTTCAATGAGCACAGAGAAATGTGAAAACATCCTTCGATTGTCAAACTCTGCACATACATCATTCTGCACAGTGAAGATTAAACATCCAACTGTAGGAACAAGAAGAAGTCAGTCAACCTTATACTGTATGATTCAAATCACTGGGTTAGTCAATAGAACATTTGCTGTGAATTTTAACAGTCTGGTTATTTGCCATGACGACAACTTAATCCATGAAGGAAAGGCTTACATGACTCATTAGGTTTTTAAAAGACATGAACAAAACGAATCAACTAGTGGCAAACGCTGCTAACGTTAGCACTAGCTCTAAGAAAAGGTCTGCACGCTACCTGTCCAGCACCCAACGGCAGACAGACTAAAATAGCGACTAGCTGGTGAATATTTAGCAGCTAAAGAACCAAATATTGCATTTGGGGGGGTTGGTGAAGACCAAAAAGAGAGTGAATATAGGACTTATTATGTCACATGGACAGAAACACAGCTTCAGATTAATGGTAATGTTGCTCTGTATCAGCTGTATGTGGCTAGTTTGCTAACAGACTTGCCACATCATTTTTTGCTGCCCCCAGGTGACCAAAATGAGTTATTGCAAGTTTAACAGCACAATGGGTATTCTCATAGCTTGAATGTTGTAAAGTGACAGACTTCTTACAAGCTTAAAGCTAAAGCTATTTGGGCACAATTAGTTTATATTTCCAATTTCAATTGAAGAAATTTGAAAGAATGTCTTCTTTTAACTTTTATTTCCGTTGAGAACTATGGGAAGAAAAAGAGAGAAATCTTTATAAACACCACACACACACACACACAAACAAATGTAGAAACAGAAAACCCAAAGGTCTATTAGCTCGTGTTCTGTTCTCTCCCTCTGCTCTCCTGTATCATCACAGAGCTGTCTGCCTAATTCTCCCTCTCCTTTTTCAACTTAACATCCTTTTCTGCAAACACCAAGTTTATTTTTAGTCGGCCAAACTTTCCCTGCGTCAGGGTTGCTAGGTAACGGGCGCTTGAACGACGTGAGCTAAGCCAGGAGAGATGTATGGATGTGGAGCCAAGACACACACAGCCACGCACAAAACGTGTATTACTTCTGATGTCTATATTGCTCTGGGTATAAAGGCAGAAGGGAAATCATCTTATGGGAGTTTTTTTCAGTCCTCCTTCCTTTTATTTTCTCAATTTAACTCCTTCCTCCATCCACTTTATCCTTCATACTCCATTTCTTCCTGTTATCCATCGTTTTCTCTCTGTGTCTCTGTCAGGCTGAGACAGTGTGAATATCCGCTGCAGAGAGTCCAACCAGACCGATCTGTTTCTTTATGGAGACTTATTAACAGCAGAGAGAGAAAAGTTGCTCTTCTTCTTTATTACGCCTCTCACTGTAACAAAAAACGTACATTTTGCACACATGCAAACACGCACAGTTCACACCTAAGCACACACACGAACTTAACAAGTCGGCTGCAGAGGAATGCCTCCACGCTGAGCGCAATACATCCACAACGATGTACAGCTGCACTGCAGTGTCATTAAATTTGTATGTCAAGATCATTTTCATTACTGCTTTCTGACCCAGTGATTTTCATGCAAAGCATCAATGGACCGATTGGTGGGTAAAACATGGCTGTGCTGCTCACTTCTACTCTTTTCTGTCCTGACGTGTCATGATTTCAACTAATTCAAGTTGTCAAAATGCACATGCACATGTGCGGCACATGACTGCACACTGTGGTCCAGGAGAGTTGCTTCGAAATGCTCTGTTGCATGGTAAAGTCAGAATTTTACAACAAGCTGAATCTCCTTTAACTCTCTCCTTCTGCTGTTGTCTACTGCTGTGGTTCCACCTCTCACCTCTGTGCCTCTTTTCCTGTGTGCGCCTCCCTCTCCTGTCCGGCTGCACCGATCACTTCCACTATAGGAAGTGACCAAGCGGGAGGACTTGCATGCCCAGCTGAGCCTAATTCAGCTGCCTGTAGACTCAGGGGTATGTAAAGCACTGCAGCTCTGCCTTCCCCTCCCTCCATTTAATTGACTAACTGCCCTCCTGCATCCTCCCCTCTGCCCTCCCTCTCCACCCGTTCTCCTCATCCTTCCCTACAGGGGCTTTGCAGTTAATGTGTCAGATCTCTCAACAGCCGCAGCTTGGAGGTTGCCTTCTTTTTATTAATGGCTGAATAAACACCAGTAGCAAGATCACTCAAAGTGTATGTAGGTCAGTTTTTACTGTTCTGAGTCTTGCTTTTGTGCATAATTTTGGCTGAAGCTAGGTAGATCATTTATCAGATATACTAATGCTGATAATAAATTCCTAGCTTATGCTGGCTACAAGTGTCTTATAGGGAAACTCCACCCAAACTACAAAAATGATCTAGTGTATTTTATAACTTGTCATTAATAATATTCCGTCATGCAGATAGTTTCAATTTAATTCACAAAGGTTTTGAGATTTTCACTGCTAAATGTCTTGCTGCCAACTCAATTCAACAGAGTGCTGAAGTGGGAAGTAAGAGTACAGTTCATTTTCTATAGACAGTATCAGATGGCTTGCAATTGGAGCTTTTCCAAAGCTTGAACGGATATCAAACTCTCCCGAATGAATCATCAGTACAAAAGATGAGCAACTGTGTTAGAAAATATTTGGTTCTTTGATAAAAAACATAAAAAGTACAAGCCTGTGGACTCAAAAATGTGAAGAGAGACGACAGCTACGACTGGTGGACAAACAGTCACAGAGCTGATTTAGTTCCCCACTAACAACAAACAGAGGCTAAAGATGACACCTTGTAGAAAGCTGACAGTATATGTAGCACTTTAAATCAATCCACTTTTTTTAGTCTGGGTCAACTTTGAATGCATTTGGCAACTATTTTACTTTGTTCCTAGTTGCAACAACCAGTAGTTTCTTCTTCACAAGATCAGCTGAGGCTAATGGGTATCATCCAAAATATTTCTATAAAATCCAGACCAGGCCTCTAATTGAGACCTGAGTTTATTTGGCAAAATGTGTAGTCACCACAGGCTAGTAAAGGGAACCTGCATCTCATTGGGACTAATTGAAGTTTTACGGTAATTAGAACTTTTGACCATAACCCATTATAAACCGATCCATAGGTCGGCTCAATGACAAGTATTTCGAGCCACAGCAACAAAGAACTGTTTTCAGCAAGGTCTGTGGATTATCCTGACTAAATAGAACATCTCTGGAAAGAGAGATTGCAGTTTGATTTGATTAAAAAAGAGTAATCTTCAATTATCGCACCACAAATTTAATTACATTCACTTCCTCTGTATTGTCTCAGCAAGTGAAATCTCAAAACCTCTGTTGACCTATCATGGCTCAGTACCCATAGGGATCATGAAAGGAAATCTATATTGGGTATTTTTTTAATTGATTTACTGTAAGAGCCCAGAAAGAACTAGGGAAATTGGGGGTGGAAAAGCAGAGGACCTCCAACATGGCTGCCAGAGAATGTGTCACATCATCTCAAAGTCCTTTTACCTGCTTCCTGCATGATGCCCCAGCGGCTGAAACTAACCGGGGCAGTGAGTGACTTTTCAGAGGAGTTTAGAAGAGAAGACAAAGTGCTTAAACACTTGCATCACTTTGCTGTGTGTGTTATCTTTCTGTTCTTGTCCCTTTTTAAAAGCAGACTCCACATCAAACCTCAGATTGAAACCCTCCACCCCTCTCTTTTTTTCCTTCTAGCCTCGGGTAAGAAGGCTACACCGGCGCTGCCAAAGCATCTCCCTCTCTCAGTCTCTATTTTATCTGGCTGGAGGTTAGAGATGAAGTGAAGGAGAGAGGGAGATGGGGTGGTGGGGGGTGGTGGCTGGGGTGGCTTTTCGGGAGGCCCCAGATAAATCCAGTCGGACTAGAAGATGAGAGCTAATAAAGAGACGGGGTAGATCAACTGTGTTTGCATGACTCAGGCTCTTAAGGCAAGGCCAGTGCACTCTGTGAAATGAGGACTTTGGAAAACAGATCAGTGTAAGTCTGGTCCTCGTGTCCTCTAATTTTACACTCTTGAATTCTATCCAGAACTGATCCAGAAGTTTTCCAAAAGGGCAAATATTCCAAATGTTTTTTTGTTTTTTTTTATCTTCTTGAAACACAGCGGCCCACTGGGGGCACAAGCTTGAAATGAGGATTTGAGTGGAGTCTTCTGTCTGGTCTAATGTTTAAACCTCTTAATATAGTTTTATAATCCTGTACTGTCTTTATAACTGTACACTTTTGATACATTGTATTGTATTGACTAGCCAACTGTGGAAGCCCAGGGATGCCAATATTAAAAAGAAACTCAATCAAATAGAAATTAATAAACTAGTAGACTAAAATTGAGTTTTCTTTTTATTTTCAAGTTTTGTGTGATGAAAATGAAAATGCAAAGTCAATTTATTGTTTAGTTTCATTATCTTTAGAGCAGTATAATGCTATTCTGAAAATGATTTGCAAATGTAGCATTTTTTTTTTTTTTTTTGCCGGTAGTGATGCATTTGTTAGCTAGCAGCATGGGTTGTTCTATGCACCACTTGGTTCCAGACTGAAATATCTTAATAACCATTGGATGGATCGGCATGAAATTTGGTAATTATCTTTGGTGATAATTTAGATTTTAATCTAGCATCACCACCAGGTCAAAATCTGAATTTGGCCAAAACTTTGATTCATGACCAAATACCTGGAGGACATTCCCATAAGCCTCAACACAGCTCATTAACAAAAGTTAACCTGCTAACACGATTAAGTAAATAGTAACTCTGCTGGCACAGAAAATAAATACTCTCCTTTAAATATTGGCACTCCTGGGCTTCGATACCTGTATTGTTGTGTCATTACTGCCTTGGTGTTAGTTTAGAGGTTTTGCTACTACAGCACAGGTATCCAATCAAATTCTGGGCTGATGAGTCTCAAATGCAGCTGTGGTAGGATACAATTTTGGTGGACACACACACCCACAGACACACAATCACCTCCTATCAACATCCACCCACCGTCTCCCATTTACACCCCTTCTTGAAGTGATGTGATTGAGATCCCCTGTGTGCTGCTGGTGTCTATTATTGTCTGGCTATCAGCAGCAGGCCTGGTCTGGCCCATCTCCTGCTCCCACCACCATGCCCAAATTGGGGTGGCAGAGTGTAAACAAGCTATCCAAACAACCCGGCTATTTCAGGACCAGGGATTTCCCTCGAGTCCACTCCCCCGTCCCCCCATCCCCCACTCCCGCGGCACCCGCCAGGGCCCGCCCACACCTCACCTTTCGCCTCCGCAGTCGCAAGAACCTCTAGCGTGTCGTAACTGCTGGGGAAGCACGCTTCTCTCTCACCCCTGATGCTGCGTGTCGGCAGTTCAGAACTTCGTCCCCAACCCACCACAGCTCACCACGGGCCGCTCGCACACTCGAGATGACCACCGATAGCTGATACTCTCACGACTTCACCTATAATAAAAAAAGAACAAAAAAACAAAAAAAAGAAAATGAAAAAAAAAGAAAAAAAAAAACAAAAACAAAAAACAACAACAACAAAAAAAGAACATCAATCCACCACCTCTCCCGACTTACGCCCCCGGCCTACAGGTATTAGAGCGGACAGTCCAAACAAGTGCTCAAAGCGACTTGTCCTCCCCACTAGTGCTCTAATAGGACCGTGGCCTTATTCCTCAG